GAGGTTTAGATTTCAATTTTGCTACTTCTCGAGATTTTTCTGGATTGATCTGTTTAATGGAGATTTACTGAAATATCATCAGCAAGCGCTGGAGGCTCTTAAAGAATTTAAATCCAAATTTCCAAAGACATCAATTAAGGCTGGTACCTCGATGATCTTAACGAAACAAAAGGATGGTAATTTGAGAATTGAATACGAGGTAAATATAATAAATGAAATATATATACTGTATATATATATATATACTTATCGCGTTTATACTTGTTTAAATAGGGAAGGAATTTTGGAGTCATCGAAAACCCTTGGCTGGCTAAAAGTTTATTTATGAGCTATTTGGCTGCAAACAATCCCATTTCCAAGGAGGTATTTCGTTACTTTTCTTCGACTGTGGCACCGTTTCCATAATTCAATCAAATTTATGATTTTTTTTTTACATTATGCACATTAGGCAAAAGAAAGTATTGCCGAGGGATTTGAAAAGATACTGGTTAATGACTAAAGCTTCAGTATGGTTATAGTCACGTGCTGGATTTTATAATCATAAAATTGGGCGTGTTAAAAATCTAGATTTTTTTTTTTTCAAAGTACCGGAATTTTTTAAAAAAATTTTTTTTACTAAATAATTAAGCAAATTAAAATGCCGAATAATTATTTTGGAACTTTATTTGGCTATTTTAATGTTATCTTTTACCTGGTCGCGTTGTGAACATCCTCGGAAGATTACGTAACGGTATCACGCCTGATAGGATCATTTGACACGTATAAAAATAACATTACAAACGGGAAACATATACACAGAGCGTTGGCGAGCCGAGCATGTAAATCAAGTTCTTTTTCCATATGTGAACGTGAAAGTATGCAAATGATTTAGTGGCAAGTCATCACCTTCCGGAATTTTAAATCGAAAATCCATGCGCAGTATATGCATGACTGCGCTCAAGTCGTAACATACTGTTTCCAAATTAGGATTGTCTGGGCTTTTCACCTTGGCTCAGCCATTGAAATAATTGGCACAATGCTCAAACCTAATCTTTTCCTTTTGTTTTTGACCCGAGCTAAACTTCAACAGGATATTAATTGTTTATCATTGGTCACCGTTTTCGCGCATGTATGGTAGCAGGATTTTATTATTATTAACAATCGTGAAAAAGATGGTAAGCTTATATAATATGATTTCTTCTTATTACTATTGGTTTCATTTAATCATACTCTTTTGTTAAATAATGTACTTTGTCGTGAACTAGACACAAAGGAATATTATCTATGATATCCTGATCTTTCGCAGTAGCAATTCGGGGGTGATCGTAAATAGATAACCGGAATTTGAATAAACCCTCCGATTCTACTCTTCGTGAATTTGGATCAACGCATGCACGTATGTTCATTACGTACAGTAAGTGCGTACGTACTTACGTTTTTTCTTTGTTGAACCCATAAAAATTTTGTATAGGATTGACTGAAAGGGGTATTGTATGGTATAAACAAAAAAGATACTTATTTACTATTTCTAAAATTGGAAATTGTTACTTGGGGTAGGGATAGGAATAACGAATGTTATTACGTACTGAGTCGTTCGGGTATTATATATATCCAATAAATTTCGTCAGTATTATCGGAGAATCAGGTACAGCATGTAACAGAAAGGGTCAGATTCTGGAGGGAAAAATATATTAGGATGCAATTGTATATATAATAACCCTGTTTCGGCCTGTCCTGTCAAGAGATCCTTTAGATAACGCGCAGATAAATTAATTTTACAGATTGTTACACATTTGTAATTACTATATACTCTTTTTATATATACCGAAACGGAAAAAAAATTTTTACTGAACAATACTATCTGCGGCACATCTTTTGGTTGTTTGTTAAAAAGCCTAGAAAAAAAAAATTTTTTTTTTTTTTTTTTTTTTTTTTTGCCAAAACAACGTTTATTATCAAAAAACAAAAAAAGATTTTTTTTTTTTTTTTTTTTAAACAATAGCGGATATTCACTGATAAATAGGGGTTTCGATAGTTTTTTTTTTACTGGATACAGGCATATAAATCAGATTCATCCTCCTCTGCCTTTTTTTTTTGAAAAATCAAAAAACGAACTTGACTTTCTTTACAGAACAAATTTATCTTGAACAAGACAATTTATTTTTATCGATCAGAGTTATGTCTTTCCTCGCAGATTTCGAACCGGCTCTCATACACTCACCTTTCGAACGTTCGCAACAGCGACAAAAAACCGAATCATCGTCTCCTCCCAATACAACGCCCTCGACGGCCCAAAAGAATGATAAAGACAATAAGAATTTGTTTTGGCGAAGG